CTTTAAATTTAATAAGTTTATTATATAATTTTTAGTCTAATATCTTTTTTAATTAACTTGTTATAAATTTTTAAAAAGTGTCTACAATAATATGATAGGTAGCTGTATTAAAATAATCTTTAATAATAATAGGATTGGCTCTTTGCACATGTACCTCTGAGAAAGTCTGAGGTATGTGAAAAGACAGATTGGAATAATCTCTCATAAAACATGTCCATCAGGCCTTACCAGGTCTATTATTCTTAAAAAGATGATCACGGTTATTACTTTTCACAATACTTATCACATAGTGGTTTACATTAAACCATGTAAGACCAAATCCTAATTATTGCATATTCATACAATAACCTACCAATTGTTCTTCTTTATATGTGATTAAAATTGTTGAAAAGCCAAGACAGTTGGGTGACCTATTATTTTGGCTCATCTTAAAGTTGCTACAGCAACCTATATCTTAATGCTGCTATTCAGATGCTAAGTTTTCCAGAACTAGTGATTGCCTTAAGAGCAGACTCAATAGCTTTTATATATATAGTTCGATTTTGTTGTGATTTTGCTATAATTTTGTGCTTGGATATAATTTTGAACTTAGATGCAGTTTTGGACTTGGATGTAATTTTAGTTTTGGACAATTTTTTTGGAGCTTATTTTGTGTTTGTTTTTTTTTTGATTTTATTTTTTTTAATTTTATTTATTTATCTTTTTTTTTTTTTAATCACAAAATTTTAGAGCAATTTATATATTTCGTACATGATTGTAATTAATTTTTTTAATTAATAATTATGACTTGATTTGTCTTAATCACAATTATAATTGTGATTGTTTTCATATATCTTTGTCTATATAATCATGATCATAATTATTTATTCTCACAATCGTGATCGTGATTGTCTTTGTTGCAATTTCGATAACAATTGCAGGCTTTTGTTTGCAACTGTGAAATACAAAATAACCTAATAAAGCTTGTATATATTATTAATTAAAGTATATATCTATTAATGACTTAGTTTATTACAAAAATAGCTACTTTATATTAACACTAAAGTAATTATAGTAATTGCTAAAATAGCACTATTTGATATTTCATACTATTTTAGATCTATATTGCATAAGTTTAATTAGCAATTGTTCAAGAATAAAGGCACTTATACAAATATAAAATCGATTTTAGTAATTGTTCATGAACAAAAATAATTGTGCTTAACAATAATTGTGCTTAACAAAAGGCTCATATAACAAACATGATTAGTGCCAAGAGGTTTCTTCACAATAAAGTTTAATTTGGGTAAATTTTAATATAAACCAATAAATTTTCTTAAAATTTATTTACTTAAAATTTAAATATAAAGCACAATTATGTTATATACGAAATAGAAGTAAATGACCCAATTTTAAATTTTTGTAATGATTTAATGAATAACACTTACAATCCTAGAGAATTTAAAGATAGAATAAACTATGTACTTTCAATTCTATATAATCATTTGTATGTTACTATACAATATTTACTGAAAATAATTATTACAGATATGATCATCTAGTCTATTAATAATTATCATGCTCATGCTAAAGAACTTGATCAAATCATGTAATTCATTGAGTTTTTTGATAAAGTAATTTGTAATTATGAATTATTTTTATAAATGTAATACATAATCTTAATGTATAAATAATTCTATAAGGCTGAAAATGATGAAGGCACTTTTGATAAAAAGTACAGATATCATTATACTATTAAAGGTCTAGAAATATGTAAATTTGCTGATTTATTTCTTATAAGAGAGGCTTATAATTCAAGCTTTAAAAAATTCTATGATGATTGTCATAAGCCTGATTTTTATGAAAATGCTGAGTTTAATTTATATACAAGAAATATTCGTCATTTTAATATATGAATATCTTTAAGAGAATAAGTTACAATTTAATTTTTATTTAAATTAGTTATTTTATAGATGGTTGTGCAAGTTGGTTGTAATGATTAAAGAGCAGTTAATATGTAATATACAGTATGTAAATTTAAAAAAATTGGTACAAATGCTAATGCTATAATGAATAAATAAAAAAAATATATTACAAGTGAATAACCAAACATATCATTAATTAAAGGTCATAAACATATGTAATAATACCCTATTTATTTAAAAATTCATTGCAATTAAATTGATTTTATTTTTAAATTTTAATATGTACTAAGAGAGTTCAGAATTTCTTTAATATTTCAATTTAACTTGAAAAATGTTTAAATTTTATATTCATTGTTTAATCATGTATAAATGGATTTTTTTGGATTAGTTTGATAAATATTAACAAAATTTACAAATTTCTCTTGGTATTTTACATCTATTTTGTAGTCTAATGGTCTGTATAAAATGATTTTTATATTATTTAATTCATCTCAATAAGACAAATCAAACAGTACTAAAATTGTTCGATTCAGATCAAAGGATCACAAAATATTATCAAAAAACACAAGTGCATTACAATACCCTCTTGCATCAGAATACCCATTGCTCCCTTACATTTTTGAAATGTTTGCCTTAAAATTTTTTATTTTCAACTTTATCTTTTTTTAATAAGTTTTTTTGTTCGATATGAAGAATCTAAAAGATTTAAAAAATTTAATATTTAAAAACTTTAAAAATTAAACTATATTTAAAAATATTACTATTTACCATACCAACATTAGGGCATGTGTAACCAGAGGATTTTCTTCTGGTTAATTATACATAGAATAAACATTGATGTTACATAATCGATTTTACACTATATGTAAATCGATTGTGTAACATCAATGGTCCCTCTTGTTATGTAGAATAAAAACTAAAAATTAGGTTATATAAGATAAATTTTTTTAAATTTATTGTTATATAATCTTTTATACAACAATAAATATCATCAAAATTACATTTGCTGAAACTGATCAAACTTTTTTTTTCAAAGAAAATAATTTTATTGTTTCAACTAATAGTAATCAGATACAAGGTATTAAGAGTACAATGTTTTTTTCTAAGTGTTATTAAACATTGAAGTGATTTTTAGATGATAATTTAGCCTATTACTTGCCTAATAATAATTATAGTGATTTTGAAAAGTCTAAAGCTATAACAATTAAACTTAACATCTATATTATATCTTATTAACTCTAATTCAATAAGTTTTTTTAGAGACTATCAGACTAACTGTTTATATTAAATTTCAAAATTAAGTTTTTTTTAAAAAAATATATAAAGAAATTTATAAATTTTATGATCTTAAATATATGTTAATTTTAAAATAAAAGAGTTTACTATTCTTAAAAAGTTTGTTGTATAGTAAAATAAAAACTATCAAGATTTTTAAATCATAGTTGATTCTATTAAAAAATAGACTTATCATGAAAATAAAAATTATTCTTGCTATAATATTTATTAGAGTAAGTATAAAAATTAAGATTAAAATATTGTAAACAAATACTAGAGTTTAATAAAGCTTTTCTTATATTATTTTTATGAACTAATTTAATAAACATAATTTTCATTATTAAATTTCCAATTAATAATAAGCAAACAACTAAATAAATGTTTTAAATTTTATTAATATATTAGTTTAAAATTATAATTAGAATGATTTTCATTAAGTGAAACATTTAATAATTAGTAGTAGTTAAAATACTAGAATAATATTGTTTAGATTTTTATAAAAATTCATATTGCATTTTTTGCAAAGAAGATAAAGAAAAAGATTAAGATTATTTAGCAAAATATAAATATTATAAAAATATATAAAAATATATAGAGAATACATTAACCAATTTGGCATGAATGAAGCTCTTAAATAAAGCTAAAACAGAGTAAAGAAAGATTAGCTTAAAAAAGTATTTTAAAATATACAAATAGAAGAAAAAGCAAAAGCAAGATGTAAAATAATTAAAGACCTAATATAGGAAAAAAATAAAATAATTACAAGATATATTACATTCAAGTAAAAAAAACAAAAAAGTTTATTGCAATAGCAATTAATATAACTTTTACAAAGATATATGAAAAAATAATATAAAGCTTTTATTTTATAAGAAAAAGAAATAGGAATTGATAAAAAAACCAAAAGAAAAAAAAAATATAAAAAAAAATCTAACAAAAAAAATTAACAAATTAGTTTTAAAGAAAAAACTATTAAAATAAAAAAGAGCCAAATCATTGAGATAAGAAAAAAAAATATAGAAAAAATAAAAATATATAAGGCATAGTCTGGCTTAAGTACAAATTTATTTATAATAAATTAAGGCCATTTACATATAGCTTTTTTGACTAGTTTGATACAGTTTTCAGATTCAAATATATTTCTAACTAATATAGCAGATCATTTTTAAGCACTCAAAGAAGCAAACAGAGAATGTTAGACCAGAAACTTAAGTTAAAATATATATAAAAATCTTAATAAACAGTAAGGTTATTAAAAAAAAAAAAATTTAGATATACATCTAGTTAGTTATATAACTCTTTATACTAATTATTAAAACATATAACTTGTAGGAAATAAAATCTAAGTTTATATAAAACTAATATTAAAATGACAACTAAAGGTTTAATTAAACAAAAAAAGTATTTAAAATAGACTTAACAGATATAATATTATAAGAAAATAAACTTAATAACAAATGATAAATAAATATGCTTACTAAATAAAGCTTTGAAAAATAAAAATTTGAAGAAATAATATAGATCTAAAATTGTAAGTTTGTTTAAAACATGTAAGCATATAAAGAGTCAAATAAACAAACATGTATAAATATAGACAAAATAAACATATAAGCATTATAAAATACATATAATAATAAATAAATTAAAAAAAGTAGCATAAAATATAGCTAAATAACAACACAGATAAAGTTAAAAAACTTGATAACAGGAGTGTAGTAACCTAGTAAAGTAAATAAATTGTTAACCCTTAAGTGGCAGATCTAAGGTTTAATTCCTATATACAATGAATTTTAGAAATTATATTTGTGTTATAATAACTGTCTCTTGTTAATCAGTTGGGTTTATGCATTTATAATCTTAGATATACTAAATTAGAACCTATCTGATTTTGGAAGCTTAGGGCATTTATATAAAGTTTAACATTATATATATATAGAGGAATATAAAAACCAGTGTCACATAAAGCTTTGGTACAAACTTGTGATAAGACCACTAGGTGTAGAAAACTAAGAAATTAAAAAAACAGAAGCCTACTTGGAAATCTTAAGTAAAAAGATAGCACAAATTTTTAATGATGCTGTTGAACCAATGGAAGCCAATGAAACATCTTTATAAATATTGTTAGATGAACTGAATAACAAAATGTATAAAGGAGCATATGACTAACCAGATTGCTAAAATTGTCAGAAAAAAAGAATAAATATATAAATATATCATACTAGGCTATTTGAGTTAAAAGTCTGAAAAGTCTGTTAGTTCTGAGTTGTGGCTAGTAGAAGATAATAGAGAAGACATCAAAAAAACAAGTATCAGAGTTTGGATAAATTTTACAAAAGTAACAGTAGTTTAATGAATAACCCTAATCACAAGTATTGGTCTCAGTTATAGCAGAAAATTCAAGTTAGCAGTAGATAGGAAATATATAACTCACTCTAATAAGTTTACCTTAAGGATAAAATTGTCCTAAGGTTGAAATAAAAAGATCTAAATCAAGTAATTTGGTGAAATTAATACCAAAGTCAGATTAGAAAGTTTAAATAGAACATCTAAGCAGAAGTGTTAGATATAGCAATTGATAGAAAACCTTTGAGCAGACTTCATAAATAGGTAATATAGAAAAGTTATATATGTAGCCAGTTGTATACTTGTTTAAAAGTTTAATATAAATCTGTTTGTATGAATATGTACCCAATATAAGTATTAATAAAAAGTCAAAAGACCAAAGAAGTCATCTTAATACTGAAAAAAAACTTAATAACATTAAAACTAATAAGTAAAAAAACAAAGGCAGAGTTAAAACTTATAGATAATACAACTCTTTTTGCCAATTACCTAAACATAAAAATCAGCAAAAATAAACCTAAAATTTACAAGAAAACTAGTATCAAAATAATATTTAAAGATTTAGCAAAACAGAAAAAGCTTTTAAATAAACTTAACAGATGTATTAGTAGAAAAAAGAAAATCAAACAGCAAGTAAAAAAGCAACAAACTTAATAAATAAGCATTAAAAAATAAAATTTTTAAATAACAGTATAAAATTTGAAATTACAGATTTGTTTAGAACATGTAAGCATATAAAGAAACAAATAAATAAGCATATATAAATATAGACAAAATAAATACATAATTATTACAAATTGCATATAATTATAAATAAATTAAAAAAAGTAATACAAAACATAGCCAAATGATAACATAAATGAAGTTTAAAAAGTTAATAACTTTAAAATTGGTAAGTAAAGAGATAAAAGCAAAGCTAAAACTTATAAATATATATAACTCTTTTCACTAATGGACAATTTTATAAAGTCAAAAATCAATACTTTAGTTTGCTTAAAAGTTACTTAATAAATAGACCTTGCATTATTAGAAAAAAAAAATACAAAAACAGTTATAGTTTAATAGAACAACTTCTAGAAGAAGCTGTTTGCTCAAAATACAAAAAGCTTATTTGAAATTTTTAGAAAATTTTTAAAGAATTTAAAACCTAGCTGTAATTTTGTAAAGCTGATTGATTAATATATAAACAAATTACAAAGTAAACAATCATATAAATTTAATAAATAAACAAGCAAACAAAGTAGCATGTGTCTAATTACAGTAATATAATTTTGTAGTTTATAAATTTCTTTTAGTTTTTTAACATAATATTTCTTTTTTTAAATTGTTTTTTATAAAATTTTATTGTGACTTCTTTGATTAGTTCTGACTTT